AGAGCAAGGCCCAACCAAAGAGTATGTTCTAAAGCAGTCGTTCTCAGCTTCTTAATGCTGCGACCCTTTAATACAGTTCCTCATGCTGTGGTGACCCCCCCCCCAACCATAAAATTATTTTGTTACTACTTCATCACTGTAATTTTGCTTCTGTTATGAATTGGGTGACCCCTGTGGAGGGGTCGTTTGACCCCCAAGGGGGTCACGACCCACAGGTTGAGAACTGCTGAAATCTAAGGAGATTGGCTAGGCTATTAAATTCCAGGCGGAGAAGTCCGCTCAGAATGTTATGATGACTTTTTTGGGATCCCAAAGGGGCAATCTTGATAACTTTTCTCAAAGGACACAGGACAATCATGGGGGGCGGGGTAACTAGGGAGAAGTTTTAAGAAAATTGCAAACTGCATTGGTCAGAAAAAGGCCAGGAAACTTCTGTCAACAACTTTCTCCAACTAAGTGAATGTAGCTGCTCATCTGGGGAGGGTATCAAGGGCTGTCCTGGGAGAATCACCCACCAACCCTCCCACCCTGATCTAGCCCCTGCACTATTCTTTGTGTTCCCAATGCTCAAGGAACATTTTTAAAGAGTATGATTTGAGCTCCTTGAGTATGGTCACACTGCTATTGTTATGTGATGTCAATGGAAGAGCACACAATTCTTTGGGGAAGGGTTAGAGATGGAAACACTTCTGTCAGAAGCCTATAGACCTAGATGGGAGCTCTATCTAGAAACAATAGCTTCACATTTTGATATTGTTGTTTAACAAATGCTTCTGCGATCTTGTAGCAAGGCCTTTTACTGGCCTTCGTATTTCTAATATTTTGTTTAACCTGTGGGCATTTTTCACATGCTGTTTAGTAAGATAAAATAAATGCCATGTTAATTTTTATGGGAGGCAGGTCTCATACAATTCTGGCCACCTCCCAGAGGGCATGGAAAATGCTGCCTGGGTCCTAGCTGTGTGTAAACATCTGGGGAGTCTGGGGCACTGCGTCTGGTGGAGTAATAGGAAGGGGCTGTGTGTAAACGTCTGGGGAGTCTGGGGCACTGCGTCTGGTGGAGTAATAGGAAGGGGCTGTGTGTAAACGTCTGGGGAGTCTGGGGCACTGAGTCTGATGGAGTAACAGGAAGGGAATTGTCATATGTATGGGTTCAGGAAGGAGAGAGGATCGGACATGTGTGGGGATTGTCCCATCCTAATGTCATATAGTGACATCTGATGCTCTCTTTTGATCTATAGGGCATGCTCTTTTGTAACTTTTAAGAAGCTTGAAATGTGTAAAATAAAGAAAACAAACAAAAAAAATCACTGCCAACAAGTGCATTCTGGCTCATGGTGATCCCATAGGACATTGAACTGCTCCTTAGAACTGTTCACAGAGCAGTGGTCCATGGGAGAAAGATGAGACTCTCTCCTCCCCTAAAGAGTGACAGTCCCAGAAACTCCCGGGAGCAGTTCTCCCCTGACCCATAGGGTTGCTGTCAGTTGGCATGGACTCCACAATAGTGAGTTTGCATTTGGGTTTGGTAAATCTTTAGGGGAGAGGACAGTTGCATCTTTCTCTTAAGGAGTGGTTGTTTGGTTTGAACCACAAACCTTGTGATTAGCAGACCAACACTTACCTTGTACTACTAGGGCTCCTTGTACAGGTTTTACCCACTCTCCTACCCACCCACCACCACATACCAAAACATTTGCTTTCACCCTAGAAGTTCCATCTCCCTGGGGCATAACCGCCTTTATTCCTTCATCCAAGCCCTGAAGATTTACTGGCAGTAAAAGGAGTTTAGAGGAAGGGACATTTAGTTTTGAACTCTTATATTAACTGACATGAGCTGTGCGGCCTTGGGCCAGTTCCTTGCACTATCTGAACTTATATTTATCCGGGAATTAAAATAACAGTGTTTTCACTGGATTGCTGTCATGATTAGGAGGGATTATCTATTGAATCGCTTAGCTCAGCACCAAACTCCCAGCTCCCTTCTCCTCCAGTTCTCCTCCCACTCTCTCCCATCTTCCTTCTTCCATTTACATCATTTTATAGAGTTCTCCCATCCGTCTGCATCCGTGCCCGCCATCCCAGTGCTCAGGTATAGTCATGGCAGATATTAGTCTGCTTTTGAGACAAAACTGCCTCCTATTTAAGTCCTCCTCCCTCCAGCACTAGTCCAGTTTACAGCATGGAGGACTGGAAGTGGGGGCTCTTCTGCTCCTACGCTGCATCCTAGTCCACACCTCCACGAGCCTCACTCTTACTAAGTAATTGGCTCATAGCTTCCTTTCCCTTAGCTTTACTGGAGATAGAGTCCTTGACAAAAATCAATGCTGAGCTTGAAAGGATTCATGACCCTCTCTGGACCCCTTGTCAGTTAGGACATGGTAAGTTACAGTACTGTGACAAACAACTCCAAAGACAACCCTGTCTCTTCCTCACTGGCGGCTCTGCCTCCTCTGGTGCCTTTGGGCTACAGGGAAGAGGGAAAGAGAGGAGTCTTAATTGGCCACTGTTTCTGGCCTTCCTAAGTAATGTGTTGCTGCTTCTCTGGCCAGCCCTCTCTGGTTAATGATGCTCCATGTCTGGTAGTCGTGGGTTTCTCCAGAAGGTGCTATAGGCTCCTCACTTCAGCTCATTAAAGTAAAGAGCTGGCTTCACACCACAATAAAGCAACATCAAGCCCATTGTCATCAAGTGATGCCAACTCATAGGGAAGCTATTGGACAGGATAGAACTGCCCCTGTGAGTTTCCAAGACAGTAATTCTCTACAGGAGTAAAATGTCCCGTCTTTCTCCTGTGGAGCAGCTGGTGATTTCGAACTACTGACCTTGTGGATCACATCCCAACCACTGTAACCAGTGTAACCCCCACCAGGGTTGCTTCACAGGACTATAGCCAACTTCAGCTAGGGTTGTACAAAGAAGTACAACCCTACCTTGTGCCAGGAAGAGTGCCTGTGTGGTGCAGACAATTAAGTGCTCACCTGCTAATTGAGAAGTTGGAGGTTGGAGTCCACACAGAGGTGCCTGCAAAGGTCTGGCTGTATACTGCCAAAAAAGAAAAAAAAAGCCATTGAAAACTCTAAATATACCAACCATCTCTTTAGTTGATGGTTTGAGGGTTGGAAATTTGAACTAAACTCAGCTGGATAGTTCAGGTCTAAGCTAGACGCCCTTATATGTACAGTCAGCAGGCAGGCCTGCTTCAAGGTCTGGATGGAGTGTTGGAGAAATGGCCGGGCCATGTGTCTCTCGTCATCCTCCAGGTTAACTTAGGTTTGTTCACATGGAAACTTGGCAGGTTTCTAAGAAAGAGGGCAGAAGCATGTGAGATCTCTTGAATCCTGGGCTGGAAATTAACTTGAGGTTAATTCTGACATCTTCTATTAGCCAAATCCTCAGAGCCAGCTCAGATCCAAGGAGTGGGCCGATAGACTACCTTAAATGGGAGGGTTTGACAAATCACATTCAAATGGGAGGGTTGAGAAGTATGACACTTTGCACTCTACACCAGGCACTAACGACCACCAGACATTCCTGGTCTTCTGAGACAGGAATCAGAGGTTGAAGCAGAGATGTTGGAACGATAGCGACCAGGTCTGCTAGTCTTATCTGTCCTGTCAGGGTTGCTGACCAAAGGTGATTGAGAGCTTTATTAAAAAGGTCCTTAGCATCTTTTTGTCTATAGCTTTGAGCCACACACAAATTTCAGAACAGCAGGAAAAGTTGCCATGGATCCTATTACCAACAGGAGCCACCTTCAAGGTCAGATGACCTGCTGCAGGTCATGCATCTAGTAAGGGGTTCATTTTATTTACCTGGACCATGGTGAACTATACGAAACAATGACGATGAAGGAGAGACTTTGGAGAGGCATCTATAGCTGGGAAGAACAGGGCTGGGGCACAATGGGCTGGGGATGTCATCAGACACCAATCTCTATGGCTTATAACCAGGAACTTTATATTTAAGCCTACTTTTTTTTTTAATTAAGGAACTTTCTTAAAGGATTTTAAATAAGCAGTTCACATAATTGGTTTTTGTTTTGTTTTGTTTGCTCATGAGAGATGGCTGGAGCTCCAATAGTAAGACTGGATCGTGGGGGGAGCCTGGACTCAAATTCAGACCTTTAGTGTCCATGCTAAAAGTTAGCTCTTTTCCAAATGCATTTTCCTGCCATTCTGTAAGTCCTAGCTTTCCATGGCTGCTAACTAGGATAAGAGAAGGGCAGGAGACTGTATATTTTCTAAATGTGTTTGCAAGCATGCACACACATGCACATACACAAAGGTTATCAATTTGCATCCAATCCAAGCAGGCTGGGGAGTTTCTGGTTTGTGGTTTCTGGAGAGATACATAGTTTAACCAGAGGGATTGTGAGTCGAGCGGTGGCCTTTCTGGCTTTGTGCTATATGCAGAGAAGCAGTTGCTTAATGACCCTAGCAAGACACGCCAGCCGAGGCCCTGGCCTTGTACACTCAGCTTTTGAGCCCATGAGTACATTGAATATTTCTGGAGATTCAAATTCAAAAGTCAATGGGTGCCAAAATGTATGAGACATTTTCTTAGCACATCCGTGGGACCGTTGGAGGTGACAGGAGGGGAGCAGAGACAAAAGCAAGAGGTGACCTCTTTCTGCGAGCTGAGCTTCCCACAAAAACCCCAAACGCACTGCCATCAAGTTGATTCCACTCCTAATGACCCTATAGGTTCCACAAGGAAACCCCGTAGTTTCTCAGACTCTATTACCAGAAGTAAAAAGCCTCATCTTTCTCTCACAGAGTGGCCAGCGGTTTTGAACTACTGGCCTTGCATTCACCTGCCCAACCCAAAACCACTGGCAGGGCCCCTCTTAGGAGAGGTCCGTTCCCTCTGCTCTAGGCACCGATGGGGACATTGGGGGCATCGGTGGGAACTGTGCGGTGCATGCAGCAGGCCTCACCCCGACAGCACGCATCTGCACGGCCCATAGTAAGAGAGACTGTTCTGTCATTGCATTGCAGCTCCAGAAACTAAAACGATCACTTTCTTTCAAGACCAAGAGTTTGCGGAGCAAAAGTGCCGACAACTTCTTCCAGCACACCAACAGCGACGCAAAGCTGCAAGCAGACATGTTGGCCCCTGCCAGCCCCAGCTCCAGCCCGCTGCCCGCAGCAGGAAGCCTGACGTCCTCGCCCACCAGAGCCGGTCTGCACCCAGCCAGTGGCAAGGCCCATGCCTTTCAAGAGCACATCTTCAAGAAGCCCACGTTCTGTGACGTCTGCAACCATATGATTGTGGGTAAGGCCCCGCCCCTGTCTCCGGGCTCCAATGCCCCTGGGAAACTGAGGGAGAGTGGAATACCCCAACCTAGTGCTTCCTGACTCTTGGGCCTCAGAGATTTGCATGAAGGAATCCTATTGGAGAGGGCTTTGAAGCACAGTCTTTGTGAAAACATGAGGGAAACAGGATTGGGCAGAAGGAGACATTAGGCGATGATAAGAGTTGTAAGAAAGATGTCAATCCCACTGAGAGCTTTAAAGCCTCCGGGATTGGGTTTTTGTCCACTGCAAACTGTCATTGCTTATGAGCAGCTCCAGGGAAGAAGGGATAACAAAGAAGTTCCTCTTATCCAAGGGCAACCTTCCAGGAGAGACTCCTTGGGCAGTTAGTTGGTGGGGGGAGATGAGTACCTCAGTGCTCCTGAGTGCACCACAAGTGTCTGTCTGTCTGAAGCAGGCTTGGAAGGGGGTCCTTGTTGGATACCTTACAGGTGATCAACCCAGCCCAGCAGGTATGGGCATGGATTATCCTAGAGCCAAGGGTCTTCACAGGAGAGACGGTGCTATCTACTCCTTTAAAGACTCATAGTCTCAGAAACCCACTGGCAGTTCTGCCCTGTCTTATAGGGTCACCATGAGTCTGAATTGGCTCTCTGGCAGTGAGAGGAGTCTTCAGAGAGACACTGAACTAGGGAGGAAATGAGATTCCCTCTCCCTGACAACTTTGCTCAAGAAAATGACTCCGTCACAGTAAGTCAGGGCAAAGGGGCTAACTTGGGAGTCTCAGAGACTGCCCCAGTGGAGACGATGATCTATAAAATGTCCCAACTAGAAGGGAAATATAGGCCATTCAAAGCCACAGCCATGGAAATTCTACAGTTCATTGTCATCTGCTGCTCCCATGTCCAAACAGATGGCCGAAACCATAAAGGGAATTTAGTAAGACTCAGGATGATGCCTTTCTACCAGTTGGTGCGAATAATAACACATCTTGGTAAAGTCACAAGACAACTATGACAGAACAAGGGACAGAAGGGAAGGAGACAGATTGAGCTTGCTCTCTAAGGGGATGATGGGGCTGAGCACTGCTGTGAGCAATCAAAGGGCAGAAACGCGGAATAAAAAAAGATGTTGAGGCTGAAAATCAGAAGTCAAGGCTTACTCCACCATGGGCCCTTTTTCCCTAAGGTGGCACTGATACCCCAGATCAATGGTCTATCAAATCCCTGAAGTGCCTGAAAAACACTGAGAAAAAGCAACACAGATACAGACCAGGGCCTGGGACAGAAGCCATCCCCACTGGAGACTCTGGTGTGGGCCCAAGCTGTGGTTCCTGCTCCGGTTCCCCTTGGAAGCCTCAGTGTTAGGCCTTTGCAGTGAACACTTCAGGGGAAGAACACTGTTCATGTCATGAGTCCTGGCATCATTGCAGCCTGGAAACCAGCACCTAGGGTGGCCCTAGACCGAAAAAAGATGGTCTTCTCACCTCCGCTTTCGCACCTCTCAGCCCATTTATGATCTGATAGTTCCTGAGGTCAGTGCCCAAAATGGGCCTCCCTGGGCCAAAGCAAGATGCCAATACAGTCTAATACAGTCAAAACTGTCTAATACAGTTCCTCATGTTGTGGTGACCACCCCCAGACCAAAAAATTATTTTGGTTGGTACTTCATAACTGTCATTTTGCTACTGTGATGAATCAGGCGACCTGCTGTGAATCCAGCACAGGTTGAGAACTGCTGCTGTAGAGCATCCAAACCAGAATGGCTGGTTGGTTCCTTCTTATTCTTCCATGTCTTCAGTTCTGACCCTTCTCTCACTTATAAAGACACTTGGTAGTGCCTTGGCTAAAGCACCCAGGTTTGTGATTTGAGCCCACCAGTGACTCAGAGGAAGAGAGATGTGTAAGTCTGCTTCTGAGTGATTTACTTGGAAAACCCTATGGGGTAGTTCTACTCTGTCCTAAAGAGTCAATATGGGTCAAAATTGACTCAATGGATGTGGGTTTTGTTAGTTATAGTACTTGTTTTGGACCCACCCAGGTCTTTCAGAATAACTTCTTCAGCTTAAGCAACCTTACTTCCATTGCAAACTTAATTCCCTTCTGCCATGTAACATAACAGGGTCCCGGGATTAGAATGTAGACTTGTTTGGGGCATCACTTTACTGCTCCTCATTCCCAATATATGGATCAAAGCAGATCATCAACAAAGTAGGGGGGAAATCTTTGTCTAATGCTCACAGACAGGCCCTTGTTGACTCTTTCCCATCGTTGCTCTGGTATCAATTCTATGACTTTGTAATGCCATGGGTCAAGAGCCATTTAATTTAATAGCTGACAAAGAATTGCCACCCTTTGCGATGCACCCAATGGGAGAAAACAGACCCGGATTTTCTCCGGGCTGTCCTAGTGACATAATTAGCCTTGTCCCCTACAAGGCAAAATTGGAGGAGAGAAAGGAAACGGCAGAAGGACCAGGAGCTTGGAGTCTGACGAGCTGGATTGGAGCCTGTGCAGCTGGACCTGGTGCCAACAACTTACTTCCTCTGAACCTGTACTCTCATTTTAATGTGGAGATGATAGTACCACCCTCGGAATTTTCCATGCATTAATGATCTAGCAGGAAGAAGTATCTAACATCTATAGGGTCTCCAGGGAGTACAGGAAGGCTGGTATTATTATCATTATTATTGATGGAGGAAATAATCATCACTCTCCAGAGGCACAGAGAGGTATTCAGAAAACAAACCAAATTAATTTAGGAAGGGAAAAAAACCTAATAGAAATAATTGGAGGGAAAAATAATATCCAACTAATAGGGAGTAATTAGTCTCTCTTTACTGTGGTTGGAAGTGATGCCAGCCCCCCACCACTAATCTTGGGTTCAATAGACACAATTGTACAGTTGAGATATATAATTATATTAAAGTCATTGAGAGCATGAGAGATAGAAATAATGGAGTCAGACACATTTCATAGTAGCAATGCTCACCTCAGCCCAGCTTGGTGGTCCACATGGAGAGAGGGGGGAGGGAAGGCAGACAAGGGGAAAGGGAACAGGGGAGCGAGGATGGGAGAGGAGAGGGGGAGCCTAGGAGAAGCCAAGGGAGGAGCAGAGAGAAAGAGAGAGGGCAGGGTGGGATCTTTATTGCTAACCCAGGCCTATATACCTTTAGGGGAGTGCAAGCCCACCAATTACAGGTAAAGACATACGTCACACGTCAAAGACATACGTTGCACTGTAGGGTATACAGCAACCAGAGGGGGACAATCTAAGGGTATACACACAATAGGAAGAGGAGGGATTGGGGGTATACATGTGACAAGATGGGCGGATTCTAGATTCAGGATGGCAGCCTAACTTTGGTATAACTGAGCAGGTTTGATCTATTCTCCATAGAAACCATTATCAGTAGGGTGTAAACCCACCTAGGGAGCCAAGCTTCTTGGGAGAAGTAGCCCATTGTCCTTAACAGCAGGGAACAGGGCCTACCTGTCTGGCAATTTAATTCCTTCAGGGAGGATGTCTCTAAGCATCTGACCTCCCCCCAGATGCTGGCAAAAAGCCCCTAATGTTTGGCAAGTCTTTGGGGGAGACAAAGCTGGGGAAAAGTCTCTTTACAATCCCACACTTTGCCACAGCAATGCTCCATTTACACTTTAGAGATTGCCTCTAGTTCTGCAATTCATATTCTTAAAAGGGCATTGTCAGTCTAGGGATTCTAGAAGAGGGTGGGACCTCAATGGTGAGTGACATGTGAAAATAAAACTGTGAGGGAGCTCTCAGAGTGTGGTGTGTAAAAGACGTAGAAGTTGCAGCTAGGTTCTTTTTTTTGTCATTTTATTGGGGGCTCTTATTATAATCCATACATATATCCATTGTGTCAAGCACATTTGTACATATGTTGCCATCATCATGTTCAAAACATTTTCTTTCTACTTGAGCCCTTGGTATCAGCTCCTCATTTTTTCTTTCCTCCCTCACCCTCCCTACCTCATGAACCCTTGATAATTTAAAAATTATTTTTTTCAGGTCTTACACTGACTGCTGTCTCCCTTCACCCACTTTTCTATAGTCCGTCCCCCTAGGAGGGGGTTATATATAGATCCTTGTGATCAGTTCCCCCTTTCTACCCCACCTTCCCCTTCCCCTCCTGGTATTGCTACTCTCATTGTTGGTCCTGAGGGGTTTATCTGTCCTGGATTCTCAATGTCTCCAGATCTTAGCTGTACCAGTGTACATGTTCTGGTCTAGCCAGATTTGCAAGGTAGAATTGGGATTTAATACCATGTTGGAAGAAATCAAAAGACTCGTTTTATGTGGCTTTCCAGGGAAGAGTTGGTTACAAGAGTTGAAAAGTATGAGGCAGATTTCAACAAGAACCTAACTGTTTAATAGTTTGTACTTGAATGGTTCATCCTGTAGCTTGACTTCTGGTAGGCTTCGATATTTTCCAGCTCTAATTGCCTAATATTCAGTGAAATGAAGCACGACATATGTGTTGCATCTCTAAAAGGTCTCTATCAATATCTATCAATATTGAACTTGAACATATCAGTCAGTACAATATGCCCAGGAAGTTAGTCCAAAAATTATAAACTCACTGTTGCAAGTTCGTTCTGATTCAAGTGTGGCCAGAATACTATATAACAAACTACCCCAACACAAAAAACTCCAGCATTGAAAACAGCCACTGTTTATGTTGACTCCACCGGCCTCAGAGTAGCTGGACCTGGATACTGTACTTCTCACGGCTCTATATTTCTCTTGCCTGTTCTCAGACTAATGGGTTAGTGAGCACGACGTCATGGGCTGTGAATGAGCAGGACTAGTGGAAACAAGCAAAGTTCCCAAAGACTCAGAACTGGAAGTGGCACCCCATCATGCCTGCTCACATGCTGCTAATCATGGAGCCAAGGCCAAAGCCAGAGGAGTACAAGTGCTCTCCCCCTCTTGTAGCAGGGACTGCAGAGACACCTGTTAAAGAGCGTGGACACAGGCAGGGGGAAGAATGGGGTC